GTAGAATTTGAGAGAACACAATGATTGAATGCACCTGCGCCATTGCAAACGATTCTGAGCCGTGTCGTTTAAGGTCTCTAACCATCGGTTACTTTCGTCTAACGGACTTAAACCAGATAGCCTACATCTACAAACATGACTCAGTCCATTTGTAGTTGACTTCAATTATTTGTGCCATGTTTTGTTTTGGCTGCGCCTAGCGTTTTACCAACATACTACTACACAACAAAACAATTAGGATGGATCAAACTCTTGTGCCGAAATTTCGTTCTTTGCTTAGCAGACCGGTATCGAAGCTACGCCATAAATGTCACAAGTTGGAAAAAGCCGATCGAGCTTTCTGTATCCGTGCTGAGATTTCGTCATACACCACTCCATCAGCACTGATGAGACTCTCGATATAAGTGAAGCGGTCATCATGATCAAATGCTTCACTCTCTACCATTTTTTTGGGTTTCGATAAAGGCTTATCCTGAAGCAACACTTCGCACTTCGAAAGTGAGGATCGCATCTCGAATATGCTTTTATTGTCTTTTAGGGCAGTAGGAAAACTGCAGCTTCTCAGCATCTTCACCGAATAGAACTTAGTCATCGGCATATTCCAGGTCAGTAAGCGATCCTTCTAGTAGTAGGTCAACACATGAACAATCTGACGAGTTTACCGGTAAGTCTAAAATGATGCCTACGATAAAGTTAAACAAGAATGGAGAGAGTGGACAGGCCTGACGGACGCCACTTGAAGTAGAGAATTTAAATGACAGAACAACATAGGCTGTCACCCGACAAGTGGTGTTCGAGTACAGACCATTTATAGGGTTAATGTACTTCCTTGGTAAACCGTTCAATGACAAACACTGCAACAGAACCTCACGATTGACAAAATGGAACGCCGTCTCAAGGTTCAGGAAGACAACTGTTTTCAAACGCAGATATGTTTGTCTGTGTTCCAGGACCTGTCGTAGTGTGAATTTGTGGTGTATACGGCCAAGTCCAGGCCGAAAACGAGATCGGTTTTCTCTAGTATGCTTTTCACGAGCTCTAGGTGGGCATATAAGCATAAATGAGGCTAACAATTTAGACACTATATTAGCTAGACTTGATCCCTTGTGATTGTCACAAGAGGGCGTTTGTCATTTCTTATACATTTGGAAAATCAGAGATTGAGGCAAGTCGGGTTGCATTAGGTCCAGTTCCCAGATTCTACCTAATATTTCAGTCAATCTGTTTGCCACAACTGGACCACCATCTTTGAAAATCAGGAGTTAGCCTATCAGATTCTGCTGCTCTCTCTCGCTTCAAATTTCTTTTTAAAACTCGGACAAGTTACATCGATTGGAAATTCAGGATGACTGGAGATCGTGGGCAGCCGAAATGTGGTACAGGGTCAATTGAACTGATCCGTAGTATTTTGCCCGTCAATAAAATCTCCTGGATTGAGAATGAATAATAAGACCATCCTTTTTGAGATAGTCTCACTTACATTGAGATTCCAATACCGCTTTCCTTGATTGTTAAGTAGAGCCCTCAGGTGTTTACTTGCGATATTTTTCCTACATCCAGTGAGACGCAAGCAAATACACTCTCGCACTAAAGCAAATTCTGATTCAGACAAGTGCTACAGAATGAGAGGCATTCTTCCGATGGCTTATAGCGATGTGATCTAATTGGGTAAGATTTGTGCATTGCCAGGACAGGAGGTTATCTTCCTTATGCTCAAAGTCAGTGTTTGCTAGGAATAAGCGCTTGTCTGAAGCATAGTTGCGGCAGACGGTTGCGATTATCCGTTTCATCAGTCACGACACCATAAGATCCACCCAGATGCATTTACTTCTCATCCAGTC